CTATCAATTCGTTCTCTTTGTCTTCGTTTGCTCCGAGAGGGGCTGCCTGATCCTTTTGTCGCCCGCCCTGCTGCTGTTGTCCTTTCCCTGCTCTCTTTTTCCTTTAATTGTTCACTGGGCAAATGTTGTTTTGATCCCTTTTTCTTCTTCATCCCCGTCAAAAATGTCTTTATTGATGCAACACTTATTGCCCAGGCTTTGGCCTCATCAGAGTTCTCGATCGTTGGTTTCTCAGTATCGAGATGCGAAGTCCACGCATCTTCCGCCTCAGATCTTGGGGAAGCTTGGGGTTCTTCAACCGGAAGTGACGGTGGCTCGACCACGTCGGAACCGTCCCAAGGCCCGAGACGGCCCGAAACCGTGCTTCCTTCATGCTTCCGAAGCCAGGGCCTCCTGAGACCAACCAGAACAAGACTCCTCAGATCCCCTTAGCCAGGAATGCGCTCATCCTGTGCCCAGAATCAGTTTGAGACCAGATTTGATTGATCCCTCCAAAGGTGACAATCCAGGGAGGGCCACCGAAGAAGGGAAATGCTTGCACTCGACATGCCGAAAGGTTTTCAAACCAGCTGCATCGCCAAAAACAAAGATGAATATGAAGATCGTGAAAAGGGTGTACTGTGTACTTGCTTAGTACTATGTATATACAAGGGCCAGGATTGTTCCATGCCGGCTGTGAAAACAGCCAGGGGGACTGCAAAGGGCACCGCGTCACGGACATACCTTCTCTCCGCACGACAACCATCTTCTCCAAGGCGCAATGACGAGCTCCTCTCTCAGAGCCTCACCTGAGGCCAAATCTTCCGATTATATAAAAACATGTTGTGAATTCAAGTGAATTCAATTCTTGCTCCAGGTGGAACCAGTGATGGCTCAAAAGTCCAACGAATCATGGAGCAACAGCCTTTGGCTCCTCAAATGTGTGCATGTGTGCACATGTTATATAACCATTAACCTTATAGACATATTTTGAAGGTTGGATTAAGAAAAAACACAACACAAAAAGAACAAACAAAAACACTGCCGAACCTCTGGTTATCTATTCTTGTGTTGGACGTATTCATGGTAAGCCCATGTAAAACCACTGCAAGAGTTGACAGAAAGGGCCCAGGTCTTGGAGGGCGGGGGTCAAAGGATGGTGCTGCTGTGAGTTGAGCATCTCATTGACCTCAAGATGCCTCTCTGTGGGTTCACCACATGGCCCCCAAACATGGCCCCCAAACGAACATGAACAAGCAATAGAGTCAACAGAGAACGTTTGACGGCCTGAAAGGGCTGTCTAGGGCTGTCTGGAGACTGGAGACGTGTCTAATGTGACTTGAAACCAAGAACCCCCTCCAGTGAGTATCTGTGAAGATCCCAACTAGAAAACGATGCGCAACCTTCGGATGGGGAGCTCCATCCCAAACGCTGTTTGCATCCACCGCTGTCGCCGACCGAGTGGCATTTCGGAAGTGGACTGGGTGACGGATCCGGGGTGCGGTAGCCGCGGCCCAGGCATGGCAAGCCACGTCGAGAGGTTGTAAAAATCAGCTTGACCTGCCAAATATGCCCAAATCGACACTCCATATATGGCATACACATACATAGGGGTGGTTTTGTTGCGCGGTCAATGCGGGCAAAATTCCATACGAGTACGGGTGTCTTTCCAAAAACACATCAAAACACAAGAATATTCCAATGACTTCGACATCCGCTGCGGAATTTCGACTCTGGATGGGATCTGACGCACGGTCTGGATGGGATCTGATCGTCCCTTCATCGGTCGATGACTGCGAGTCAACTGAGCTTCTGCGTTTTTGCTGGCCGAAGAGGCATTGGTGATTCTCTGGAGCGTGCATCATTCCGATCAGTTGTTGGACATGAGGCCAATTCTTATTTGACATTTTTTGCCTTCCAGCAGGAAACCCAAAGAAGGTGAGGAAACCTTATACATCCTTATTAGCCTTATTAGTTGACCTTGCTCCACCTCATCTGCTTCCGCACCACCATGTATGTGTGCGCTTGTGTTCCTAACCGCTTCGATGGAACCAAACACCAGGACCACAGCGGGGCACTGAAAGAGCCAAGCAACTGAACGTGAAAGATCGAAAGGCCCATGGTATGTTTCTGTGGGAAGCCAGTTGGCTGAACAACTTTCTGAATGACGGATGCTGTCACTTACAAAAGGTCACAAAGCAATTAATGATATAATCAGTGGCAACTATGACTTTTTCCGCATTTCGCTGTAGAACTAGATACCCAACAAATTAACATTGTATAAATGAATGTTTATGTATACACACATATATATTATATATTAATATGTGATGATTATATGAGGGCTGTCCAGCATACTCCTCCCTGAAAACCTAGCTCACTCTAGTCAACACAGCATTTCCCTGTTGTGCAGGGTCCGAAAACAAAGCAAGTCAAAGTACATCCACAGGTGCTGCCTTTGAAACCTTGGCTGTCCCATTGCCGGCTCTTCGCGGACTCGCATTCCCTTTGGCACAAAGTTGCAATCAAACCTTTGAACACTTTGTGCTATGGTTTCGTGATACTTCCGAGTCTGGCATCAACAGATGGTTCACATCTAAGAGTGGTAGCTTTGACTTCAACACCGCACCATCAAAACGCACTATCTCCTTCAGGCGGAAGCCCATGAACATCTCAGTCCCAGTCTGCCTGACTTGGATTCAGCTCGTCCAAGGGACAGCCTGATCCGAGCGAAGTTGCTCCCAGGAACTTGGAGCCGAAAGCGTCTCGTAGCAGCGTTTGGAAGGGAAAACGATCTAGTTGGGCAGTTTGATGCAGGTTCTGGGCCTTTGGGGTGTCTTTAGTAGACCTCTTATAGGATAAGTCCTCACCTGGCCAGGAGAAGCCTCCCTTTTTTCGAACGCCGTCTGAGACTCTGACTTTCCGATGTGTTGGAGGCATCGCAGGCAGTGGAGACGGTGTCCTGATCACGGTGGCCTTTGGGGTGAGTGACGTGTTCAGTTCAACCAAGTGAGTGGTGTTCGTGGACACCCCCTACGGACTGATCCTGAAACTCTTGGAGGTGGGGGCTTGCATCCAATCCTGTACGGCCTGTCTGGCTACAGACTCCGGCTACGGACCCTGGGATTCACTGGACCCTGGTAGCAAAGATATAGACCACGGGGTGGATGGTCTTCGGGTCTCATATTGGTGGGCGAGATGCGTTGACCTCAAAGACTCAAACCAACTTGAGAGAGGAGGGGGTGAACGAAAGGTAGCAAGCAATCACAAGCAACCCTGGTAAAAGTCCATGACGGCGTGAATCGGCGCAGGGGGGATTTGATCCAGGGGGCCCCCCCCCCCCGCGACGAACAGAATCAACTCTTACAGGACCAAACTGAATGCACAATCCCAACTCCTGATTGTAATACATTTTTGCTAAAGCAAGGAGAACTCAGGTAGCTCAAACTACCTTTCGTGAAAAGGCCAAACAGTTTAAGCTTGCATCTCTGAATCAAGGCGCTTGACAGTAACACATCTTAAACCACAAAACCAAGCCAAATAAGGTCCCAAACACTAGACTCTAGCCCTAGGCCCTAGACCGTTCAAAAAAATGAATCCTGTGGTTAAGTAGCAAGCGGAGGAGCGCTTCTCTCAGGGTGTTTGGTCCAAGATCCTCAGGTCATCCCGGCGTCATTCGCGTTTGGGATGTCGAATCAAATTCTGGATCTGTACCTATCTTATTATCTTTGATTCTCAAGAAGCCCTGACGGTGTCCAATACTTATGGGAAAGAATTGAAACGCGATCAACTCTGGAAGACCCGTTTTTCTCTTCGCAGTGGGCGGGGAACGTGATCAATTCCTGAGTGAACACAGGTGCCTTAATGAGAGGTCCGGCGCTTTTCGCCAGGTCCTGTGTGTCACCCATCCAAAGACGTGCCTTGTCCTCATCCCAAAACGTTCCCTTCTTCAAGTCCGGGACCCGATGAACGGCCACCTGCAGCTGATTACATGGCCTCCCCTAGAGGCGAGAAATGCGGAGAAAAGAAGGATAAGCATACACACATGGAAATATATATAATATATATATATATACATACAGTATGTCATAGCATCAAGACTTATCATGATTTATCTTGGTTCAAGATACCAAGTACAGTGTTAATGTTCATCGGTGTTCATTCCTTGTTCATCAGTGATCATCATCAATGTCTAAGGGCCCAAGGGTATGAAACAGCCACAATGCCAGAAATGGATCAAAACAGGTGGAGAGAAGTGCCCCTTCTTGGCAGGAAGAAATCACGAGAGTTTGCCTCTTTTCACATCCCACCTTCTCATTCACAGCGCTCATCTGGCAGAGAATCGCGTGTTTCTTGGTGACCACACGTGCCACCAATGGTGAGCTGAGGAGCTGTGAGCCAGGCAAATGCTGCGTAACAGGCATACGCGGCATACGCTGTGGCGTGGCGGCAGCGTAAAGGCGGGCGCCCTAATTGGTTGTAGCATGGTGCCCCTCCCCTTAAGCAATGATGCAAACAGCTCGCAGCCATGGCCTTCTCAAACTGCACCACAGGGTTGGTCGGGGTTGGTCTGAATAGTGGTCCTACAGTTACATGGGCTGGAGGTTGATATACATGTATATTACATGTTTAAAACCCATTGCAAACTAAACCATTAACCCTGAGAATTGAGCCGTGGTTTCGACCATGGTCTTCCTAACCACTCCACTTGAGTTGCATCTTGGGATGCCCCAAAGCCTTGGGCCAATCCCCGCAACTAAAACCTAAAATGCTTGACATTCTCCTGCAACACTCGTGTTGTGTGTGTGAACACTGGGGACTGTTGGGCAGTGGATCGGCTGAGATGTTTTGCAACGGGTTAAACTGCACTCCGCGAGTCAACGTGCTAAAAGCAGCCCATCATCCCAGATTCAGCCCCTCCAAAAAGGCACCGATGGGAAATGCAAACCCAAACGGGATCATTGGTGCTAAATCTGAGCAGGCATTGTCAGCTTCGAGGTCGCCAGGTTGCGCACCCGCACCTTCATCCCGGCGCTCCAAACCCACCTGGCAAGCCCGGTGGGGCTTTTTCAGGTGTTGATCGAGAGTGTCTCACGACATCGTTATGGCGTTCTCCATGACTCCTTGTGCTCAGGTTGGGTGGCCATCTGAACTCTCCCAAAAAGGACAAAAAGGAATTCCCTGTGGTGGCAAGGGAATTGGAATCACTGACTATCACATGACGTTGCTGATTACATGCTATTTTTGGCTTGGCACCCTTTTGTGCAAGTCAAGTCGATCACAGCTGCCAGAAACCCATTGCAATGCAAGAGGGGCTCGTCATTGGGCATCTCAAGTGACATCCAAGCCTGAAGTCTGGAGCTTTGATAGTGGGCTCACCCCAGGGAGAGATGGAGTAGAAATGATACTTGACTCACTGGCGGAGAAACACAACATAGACCAGTGTGTGCCCACGTGACATCACATACCTCACCTCCGATCATCGTTTCACCCAGATGGCGCTGGATTCCATCAGGTCAACCAGCTTTGCTTTCTCCCAACATGGTACCCAAAATCCAACATGAGATGATCCCAGCTGTCCAATCAACGAAACACGGCCCACTCACCTCCTCTGCTCCTTCGCTAGCTTTCGCCCTGGTGCCGCCAAACCCGGTCGCGTGGCCCCGGCCTGCTGGAGGGCAGCGCGTCGGCCACAAAGGCACCGCCCTGACCATCGAAGGTCCGCTGCTGTCGCTCCAAGAGCCGGGTGAAATGCTCACTGCCTCGAGCGCGGTCACCGCACGGTGTGCTCGGGGTCGCTCGGTCACCGAACGGTGGTGCTAAGGTGCTTCCGGAAGTGCGGGGAAACTCCGCTGGAAAGCTCCGCTGGAAGGATCCACGCCGATCCAAACGACCAGCTTGCACGTGATGATGCATCATGGATGAATTTCTGAGCATCCACAAGAGTGTGCGTGTTTATTTTTTGTCAGTGGATGGTGAGTTCAGAAATGCCCCCCTGCAAACCATGACCCCTAATTCCTTAATGAGACAAAGAAAAAACCCCGCTGCACATGTAATTGATGCCAATTCGCTTCTAGAGATGATGCATGTGGAGCTCGTTTTCATGCAACTTCCCGCGCATCACCTGGAATCTTCAAAGGGTTTCTCTAACAGGCGCGTTGTTCAAGTACAAACCTTTCCCGATGTCTAGTACGTACGTACAATCTTGTATGTTTACAACATTCTACGTCGGCTGGGCACCCACACCACAAGCGCTGTGAGAAGGATTCAGCTCCTGAGGCGCCAAGAACAAAAAGGTCGGCCAGTTTACTCCTCCCACGGAATCGATGTTCGGATGCAGGTCAAAGGCTGGGAAAGTTAGAGAGAGGGCTTTGGCAGAGTCGTGAGCTCATGAGAAATAATCTCATGAACAAGGCAGCCTTTACCTGCAAGACGTGGGAGGATGCTCCTACAGCATCCTCCAAATATGCGATCGACGGTCTCAACTGGCACATGGCCGATCTTGGTTCCCTTCCCAATGGACTATGATCGAATTCCACAGGTTCTTTCTCCCTGGGCAAGTTGTATGTAGTTGCATGAGGCAGTGGTCACTCAGTGGTCTCACCAAGAAGTTATATTATATACACTTCCCTGGAAAGGACCACTCCATTAGCCAGCAAACAGTTGGTAATTACCCTTCACTTGTGAGACCTCTTCAGGCCTCTAAACCACAGGCATTCATCAGTCAGTCAGTAAGCCTTCACAACAAAAAGCAACAGCACATCAAAGTACGTCGACAAAAAGACTCCGGATTCCTCCTCCTCCGGCCCCAAACAGCGGAGTTCGGGTCCTGCAGCCATTCCGGCCGAAGCACGTAATCCTCCTCCTGGGCAAGCGGCACGTCCAATTGGACCAGCAAAAATAACTACTCAGCCAGCAGCGGCCAGGATGCGTGCAACACTTGACAAAGCGCAGACTGTCCCAAGTCCCATCCCTCCAGAAGCCTCCTTCTGCGCTCTCGCAAAGTGAACCTTGTTGCCCTAATCTGTGAAGCTACTGTGGGAAAAATGGCTCTGGTAGCTATTGCTAATGCGTGTATTTGAATCAACCCACCAGCTCCCCCAACAATGTTCAGTTCCAGCTGAGTTCTTAGTTCATCATGCAATTACATCTTTCATCATCTTTCTACATCTTGCCAAAGCCAGCAGTATCAGCCCGGCCTTCTTCTGGTGTCGGAAGCGCAATTGATGCAAATTCCTTAGGTGCAAGCAGAGCATCAGTCAAAAGATCTGTGCATCATGCTTAACTAGCATTATGCATATACTTTACTGGCACATCAGCATGTGCGTGTGCTGTGTTTCTATTTCTTGTGATCGATTGTTGCTCTACTTGCATGGATCAGCTGGTGCAAAAAGGTGGTCTATCTGTGAAACATCCATCCTCATGTTTGGTGTCTTTTTGTTCAGCAGCTTCCCTTTCCAGCACTGCACACATCGGATCAACATGCACCTTCACCATCCTTCATTTCCTGGCGGCAAAGCCGAAACCATTAAGTGAAAAGCGTTGGTGTTTCTTTTGCCTAGTAATATGAGACCATTCCACAGAAACATGGCTCCATTCTTCCCGACTCAGCTCCCAGTGTGATGACCAAAGTGATCAATGGGCCAAGCTCTTCCAAACCATCGCGTGGGGTTGTAGAGATTTGGGGTGCCAACCGTCCTCCACAATGGACTGGGAGACCCCCAAACTATCCCCAAACCAAACAAAACCACACCCAAAGAACCAAACTAGAACTGTATAAAGTGACGGACAATCACATAGAACGTATTTTGGAAGTGTTTTTTGGCTACACGCGACCCCGAGCGGTTCCAAGTGTAAACCTAGTATATAACAATGGGAACCCCTGCACTTAGAACACATGACCACTTTCAACACACAACTTACACACACACACAACACACACGACTTATAGAACTCTGTTCTAAGTACGTTCACAGCGTTTTGCAAACAAATGTCTTCAGTGGCTGTCCGTTGCGATAGAAGCTTCAAACATCTTGAAACCAATCCGACACTGCAGTTTTTTCTGCATCCCTCCTCTCGTTTGACATGCCCAAGGCATCACCCCTCCCACCCACCCAGTGGGCTGCATCCACTAGAGGGTGCAGCAGCCAAGGAGCTCGGAGATCGGTTCGAGGATGAACCTTGGTGAAGACATGGGATGGTGAGCGGTCACCAGAACTGGGCAAAGCAACAAAAGGGATCTGCCAGAAACTGGGCTGAGCAATCAGAACAATCTATAGGGGCTTGCGGCTTGTCTGGAGTTGAAGCCACAAATTGCAACGAAACATATCCAAACCAAGTCTTGATGCCAATGAGCCGTCATAAAGGAGCTGCATGTTGGACTTGATTCGATGTTTCCTCCAAAATGCCAGGTGCAATCAAGCACAGAATGCCAGAAATCCCTCCCATTTGCCCTCTACGTGCGAATGGATATCCATCATATCATATCAATCTTGCTCAAGCAGCAAAATGACAACTCGTGCAGGACATGTCTGCGCTTGTCGCTTGGTCACTCCAATTGTGAGGTCTCCGGATGTTAAGCTTCCAGACTTGGAGGCTGAAATGATCCGGCCAATGAGCTGCAACCAGCCGGACTGGCAGCCCACGTTGGATGGCATTGAAGCTCCGTCGTTTGGGAGAAAACGACCAGGTCGATCACGGCGACACCAAGGTTGAACACCCCAGCCCAACATCTCAAGGTAGGTCTAAAATGACAATGATCTTCGTAGAATCTAGAATCTGGACCATGTTCTGTGAACATATGTGAACATGTTGGTTTTGAGCAACCCGAGCGAGGCTAAGTGATTCAGCAAAACACAATCAACTATACAGGAGTTGCAATGTATAGAGATGGCAAACCCCTAGGTGAATGTTGTTATTTAGGTTACGAAAAGAATGACCATCGAGGAATATCGGGAATCATTAAGTTACTTGCTGAGGAAATGGTGGGTTGTATCTGGTTGGTGGCAAGAATGAAAGCGGCCAATCTCACCACTCAGCACCCTGGTCAGCCAGAAGTTCTTGAAAGTGCTAGCTAGCAAATATCTGCAGCTGGGGTCAGCTTTCGAGGTCGTGTTGACCGATGAATTATCGGACAAAAACACGAAACAAACATGCAACAACTCTGCATGGAGAGGTGAACGACCCTCAGTTGTCCGGGAAAATCAAAACCACCTGTGGGATTTGAGTGGCAAAAGAGTGACCTGCAGGTGATTCGCTACTTCTCGGTAGGTGAACGGTCTCCAGGTCAGCCGGACGAATTCATCCAGAATCCCAGGACTGTAATGAAGTAATGACCCCCACTGTAGATACCTTAAGATCCATTCTGAGTCCATTCTCCAATTCTCTACGAGTCGCGCCGGCCAGTCCACGTCGCACCTCAAAGGCGGCCCCAGGTGATGGACAAGCATAGACCTAACGAAAATACAGGACCGGCATTGGTTTTCAGCGTTGCGGCGGAGAAATCAGATTTGTTTGCAGCAGCAATGAAGACGGTTTAGAAGTATATATAACCGTTCTTTTGGTAAATACAGTACTTTCAACGGGAATGAAGGATGGACTGGAAATTTAGGCCTCAAATACTTCCTGTGTTGGACTTCTTCCAACACCAGCCAACTCCACGGTTGGGACTCCAATAGGGCCATAGGTTTTGTTATGTGATTTGTTCTTTGCTGCTCTTCTTCAAAAAGGTGGCTCACTGGGCCTTCTCGCTGGTTTCATTGCAAAATTCTGTGATTAATCATTGCACAAAGCATCGCCACGCCTCGTACAGAACGGTTCCCGGCGGCGTTTGCAACATTTGCTGCAATGGCCTTGGGTGCATCTGGTCATCAGCATATACATGAAACATGGACCTTTTCAAACTATCCATGCAACGGAGCTAGAGCATGTCCATGTCATATTGTAAAATCAATATGTATATATATATATATTTATACTCAAGGTGACCCCTTTTGACCACACAACCGGCGAGAGTAAAGGTTGTGGTGCAAAGGGTTGAATTAAATTTAACAATCAACATTGAATTAATCGAGGTCTTTACACCACAGGCACACCCACAGGATCCAGTGAAAAGATCCAGAAAGGCCCTTAGAGAAGGAAACTAGGTCAAGCAGGGCGGGCGAAAGAGGAGGGCCAGCTGAGCAAGCGAGCTCCTCGCCCACGGTGGTTCGTTCATCATGGAAATAAGTGGGTCAAGGATGCATTCAAACCACTGCGCGTCCATTCTGATCCCATCACGCATCACACTGGCACCACCTGCTCCAGCTCCAATTGTGACAAAGTGACCCTGCTTGTCACGTGGTGCCTGGCTATCGTCCACACTCTTAAAGATGCCCAACCCAAAGCCTCTACGGACAATGACATTCCAGCCTTCGTCATCTGCCAGAATCCCCGCGCGCGGGACCTGTGGAGACAACTTATCCCTAGGATGTAGCAGCCGTCTGGGCTCAGCCAGGCATGACTTAATGTCATCAGACACAAAGATCTTCGAGTCGATGCAAGCTGGTCTGCTTCACGAGCGGCCATCCCAGTTCAACTAAACGGGGATTGAGCTCAACCAGATGTCTCACGGGGTTCCCAGCACCATCCATTCGAGGGAAAGCCAGCACATTTTCACATTGTTTCAAGCTCGGCAATGGTGAACGTAGACAAAGGCTGGCCGTTATCTTCTCCCCCAGACGCTCGACCGTGCATGTCTGTCCAATCGTGACTGAACTAGTAATTCAGGACACATAGACACGCCTTGACCTACGGCAATTTACTATTCGTGACGTGAGATGCCCCAACTGTAACAAGCCTCGGGGCGATTGGGAACAATTCCAGAGAAATTGAAAAGACCAAGAAGAGAAAGTCACTTCACACTCCCGAATTTCAATGGTCATGCGGTTTTACCACACTTCTCGCGCTCCCCCATCTTTTTTCGACTGGTCAAGCAGATCCAGCGCCAGCCGCCGCGCGCACAGCAAGCAGCAGCCACACAAGCACGACAGCCGCAGCCGCCACGGCCGCCACACCTCTCCGATGGCTGCGGGCAACCGGGAGAAGCCGGGAGCATCGTGTAGGATTCGGGCCAACAAAAATTCTATCACGACCCCTCCGACCGGGACCTGCATGTTGAGCACTGAAAAGGCACTGGCAATCGACGGCGCCTAAGCGGCGGTCCATTTCCAAAAGTCAGCCTGAGGATGGCTTGCAACTCTCCAATGTATACAGCTACAATGAAGCACCATGCAATTTGACAGCAAAAGATCGTAGTAAGCTTAGACAGGTTTTGGGTCCGGTGCTCTTAAACATCTAAGTGCTCTGTGAAGGCTGAAGCCGCATGCGAACATATGCAAACCAATCTGATTTTCATGACAAGGGCAAATTTTTGCCTCACTGCAGCAGAGTCAACATCAGCGCAAAACGCTCAGGGTATTCCTGGGCACCTGCGGTTCGAAATCCACGACCACTTTCCGCCCTGTCAGGGGAACATGAGGCTGCATAGTCACGCAGCAAAGAAAGCAAAACTTACCTCCTACGAAGCGACGCCTCCTTCTGCACCGAATGCTCTTTGCATCCTCTGAATGCCAGATCCAGACCCGAGTACCAAATTGACAAAAGTCCACAACGATTTCTTGGAAGCTGCTGTCAAGCTTCAAATTAGACCACTCCTGCACTTTCCACATTCATGAACTGGCCGGGTTTTCAATGCAGCATGGGGTGCAATGCTGGCAGCGCACGGTCAAGATTTGGATGGCGGCCAGCAAGGTTGCATTGCCATTGGCGAGGGTCAAAAGCCCCCCAGCACTAAAACGTAGCCAGTTCCGGCACTCTGCTGACCACTGTTCAAAACCCTTTCTTCTGTCCCTTGCCGGCTCCTTTATAGTGCGCTGTCTTTTTCCGACGGCTTTATTGCGCCGACATTCTCAGACATATAGTAACGTTGTTTTTCCAAGCTCTTCCCCAGCAGGCTCTGGGTGCAGCACGTCACCCCAATACTCACTTCGTTCGCTAAGAAGAACTTCAGCCTAGCCTATAGGGCCTATGGCTGGATTTCGTTAGTTGAGGGGTAAGAATGATAAGTTTGCTCACCTGCAAGAGAAAAACCTTCTAAGGCGCCAAAGCTGGGGATCTCTCAACAGCACTGCCGATTTCTGTAGGAGAAATGAATACATGAACAGTCATGTGAACAGTCGTGCACGTAGCCGCGGAACAGTCATGTCAGTCTGATCGCGCAACCTTACCCATTCGACTTGGACACATAGTCAGCAAGTCTAAAAGGCAATGCCCAAAATTTGCCAAGATGCCCTCCTCACTGAATAGCCTACGGATAGCCGATTGCCATTGTTCAAAAGGCTTCACTGCATCATTCAACGACGACGCCAGGTCGTCTTCCACAACACGACTGGTGGAACACATGCGCTCCTCAGAGGGTGTGATGCTAGCAGGTTTCGATTTCAGCTCCCGAGCGAGCGGTGGTCTCACCATCAGGCTTGAAGGACTCTTGAACTGGAACAGGGAAGAATCCTGCGCAACCTCGGAGGATCCTTTTTGACTTTGCGGGGGGTCCATATCATCTTGTGCCTTGTGGTGACCATCATTTGTCCTATCACATGCATTTTGTTGCTCCGATCGTCTGCCTGACACTGCTGGAAACAATGCTGCGCTGCGCCCAGTGCTACGGACCGCCCCGCAGGGCATGCGGCACGACTGGATAGATCAATGAAGCTAGTCACGGAGCTCAGGTTCCTGCCATCAACGTTTTGGAGACGTCCACGGTCACCCATGGGAGATGGCCAGAGCTCATCTCTGTTGACAACCTCGGCCACGGCCGCCATGCCATCATCATTTGGCCTCAGGTGATCTGCGCCCCTATAGTATCTTGCCCGCGTCTAACTTTCGCGGGCCGTTCTTCGGCAATTTCTTGCTCAGTGACAGAGGGTATCCCCAGGGTTTGGCTGGTTAACCGAAGAACTTCCACCTTCAAATGTCCGTTTCGTGCTGCTGGCGGTGCTTGGGAAGCAATCCTTTAGATTGTCTGGTTGGAGGCCTAAAGGCAGTCTCGCTGGTTCACCTTCAAGGGGCACACCCGAAGGTGGATGCACAGCCAATTCTTCCATGGTCTCGTCCTGGTCTGGTACCTCAGGACGCCTTCTTGCAAGCCCAAGTTCGCGGGACACGTGATGCTCCCGCATCCAGCTGACACTCCCAGTCCGAATGTCCTCCGGCTCAATGACCCCTGCATGCTTGATGTGCAGCTCCCTAACCTTATTGCCCTGAGTTCTGCTGCAGGCCTGACGTGGAGCGGTGCACAAGTGTATGCGAAGCACTCTCTGGAAGGCCATGCCCGGTCCAAGGTCCAGCCGAGACAGAAATTGCGGATGCCAATCACGCGTCCCTCAAACCATATTCCCTCTGGCTTTCGCACCAAATGCCGGAGTACCATGCACAGAACCAAGCCATCTTGATAAGAATCTGGATCTCCAAAGCTTAGTTCCACAAGCTCGTCCTTGTTCAGCTCAAAGGACTCAATGAGCTCGCAGTTATCCGGGAAGGAGATCCATGGTCCCGGCATCTCTAAATCCCACCCGCAGGTGCCGTCCTCACCCGCGGGTGGCCCCTCTTCCAGCTTGAAAAGCACAACGGCGAATGAGCATAAAAACCCGTGCCTTACGCAACGCTAGAGGTCACTCGTGGCAATAATATATATATATATATGATGCAGCAGTATGCAGCATCTTGGTCCTTGGTGGTTCCTCATCCATTCTTCCAGCAACTAGTTCGAAATGCAGCCAACACCGGCCAGTAAGGTAATCCTGGCCTCATGACTCTAGGTACCCGGCCGGAGCTGCTAAGACCTCAAAAAAACTAAAGACAACTGACCATTGAACCATGCAAAACCTCAGTTGCCGATCTCACCAGTGGTCCGGCAGCTCTAGCCACACGTGGGGGCAATCCCAGGACATCTTCGATGGACCGAATGGACCTGAAAACCAAAACTCCATCCAAATCCAGGGCACCAAGGACCGTGCCTGGAGGAAGGGCGTGTTTCTGCTCACTGGTCTGCCCGGGCCCCCAAGCGGTGCCGGTCCGGATCGCGAACTGCGAGGCTTTGGGGCCTCCAGGGTTCAAAAGGCACGTTGGGGGAGAACCTATGGCATCTGCGGTGTTTGGAAAGCTCCTCGAATCATCTGGTGCCAACAATCGTACTTTGGGAGGTTCCAGGTGGAACAGTGACACAGTCGAGCACCAACAGTTACCACCGACTGACATCTAAAAAAGACTTGAGTATGATTCTTCAAATGTCCACAAACTTCGGAATCACTGGGAAGTCTGGGAAGCTCTACCACTAAACCGTCGAACAGTGCGCTCATTTTAGAGGCTGGTGCAACCTACCCGCTCACCAGTTCGTTGCAAGGCCACCAAATCCATCATAGTTGCACCAACTTCGCGCCCGGCCTCTGGCATATGGCCCACCGGCTGCAAGATCAAGGCCCAGGGGCACTCCACCACCTCGCAAGCAAATGCTTTCAACATGAGGACCCTAAACCCAAAACTCCTGGTGGTCGCAGAACAACAACGTTCACTGTGGACACAGGGGGTGCTTTCGAATAAAATTTGTGTGGAAATCATTGTTGCGATCCCTGGCAAATGATCATGACTGATCATAGATATCGCATGAGCAAGCAGGTTCAACAGGCAACTCTGCGAACATGTTCTTATATAGATGATTTTAGATTCTGATACTGACACCCCAAATAGATCCAAATAGAATAGAAATTGAGAAAAGTAGATCCCCACTAAACATATGTTGGAAACCGTTCTATTTGAGGATCACTATGGTCCCAGTTGGGATTCCAAGCAAAACTTTGGCCGCCAAGGCAATGTCGGGGATGATTTCTTACATCATGATTGGTCCATGAAGCTGGGTTACCATGATCATCGACAAACAACTCCGAATGTGGGTGCGCCATTTCTTCCGTCCAGGTTCATGTATTAAACTATGTACTGAGCCATGGGCCTCGCCGTTTAAGCCTGGCCCGTCAGGAGTAGCCGTCGAAACCCTTGGTTGGGGGTGGCTTCTGGCCGGTGTGCCACATCTGGAGAGGAACAAATCCTGATGGTCTTCCATATCTGACAAAGTGGCCCCCGCGTAGGGAGCGACTGCTCTGGCTCTGGCAATTGGTGGGCTCTGGCTACAAACACACGTGTTGTCATGCCTATGTATATGTATATTTTATGTATGTATGCATGCATGTCGATCTATCAGTCAGTCAGTCAGTCAGTCAGTCTGTATGGCAATGCCTCAACTCAAGGATAAAAACCCAAAGGTCACTACAGACTTTGGCACAACTTCTCAGCCTCACGCACCTGCACATCTTGCACCAATAACACGTGCAATGTGAAGTGCTACGTGCGTCATGTGTTTGGCTTGGAGCTGGTCAAGGGACCTTTCTCCGGGTTTCGAAAGAAAGACCCTGTGGATTCGTCTGGATCCCCGGCGCTGAGGACTCAGCGCCGGCATCAGTACTGTATCGAGTCGTGCATCACATCGCGATGTGAAATCCACTGATTTTGTGAGTCACGTCTGACGAGCGCCTCGAGGATTCCGAGGAAACACAACCAACGTGCATATCCAAACTGATCCAAACTGATCAATGTGATTCAGAACAAACACTGGAGGGGATCCACACTTGCATCCCTGAATAGGCATAAAACGCACTAGCAAATGGAACCTTCTCAACCACCAAGTGCACCCCGCAAAACGAACCCGTGGCAAGGCTAATGACTCATGGTAGCTGTCTTGGGACTGAGCAACATGCGACCCTCCTTCTCCCTGAAGCGGTCCTCCACGGGTTTCTCGCCCGTCCTGCGTCGCTTCTTGGACTGAACAATCCTCCAGCCTTGACTGCTCAACAAGCGGAGACCATGCCATCCAGTTCTTTTGCATGTTTTCCCATTTCCATCCATGTCCATTTGTACCATACTGTCCGTGAGGTCTTCGTCGGATTGCGAACGGCAGAACCAATAAGATGATCCGCGGGCCGAAAGATCCGGCCGGAATGGTGCCAAAACTTGACCCGGTCACATACAGTTTACCGAAGAGTTTGTCTCTTGGCACGTCTTACCTTTACTGACAAAGCCGCTTGCTAACTGGTAGACTGACACATCATGGATCTATATAGACATATAAACCATCCTCTTCCCTCTTGGTGCAACTCCCTCACTCCCAATTTGACCCCGCTCCTGCCCCAAAGCGGCAAAGGCACTCAAGCCGGTGGCATGCGGCCTCAACACGAACAGTACCGAGCACCCCAGCGGCACATTCCAGCATGGTTGGCGCTATGACCACGAGAATGGAGATCATACTGATGTATCATACGGAATACGTAGCATGAATCTATCTGTCACTGTCATCTGCATTCATCTATGTCACCGTGTCGTAGCACATGAAACATATATCAGACCTTCTTGTGAGACCAACCCAATCACATCTATACCGATATGCCCGCCTCTGTTTGCCACTCACTTGGCCGGGTTTGTTGGGTCTAAACGTGTCGGTCTATGCGAACGCTGCATAGAAGCGCCGGCACTTTTTGCGTCCGTCACGCTCTGCCAAAGCATTCCTGAGAGCAAACAGTCCAAGTTGCTCAGCACGTGCTGAGGGACATTTGGTTGCAAACCCGGTGAAGGGCGGCAAGCTCAGCAACACATCATAGCGGACCCCCTAAACAATCCTAAGCTAAGACTACTTGAGATAAACTATCCAAATCTTTGGCTCAATTCCCTAAGACCCCTAAGATAACGTTGATTCAATCCTGCGCAGCACCAGCACCACGGAAACAGCACTGCTCTCGGCCAAGGCTCAGGATGATGCTACCAGACACCGCCACGCCTGATGGCTGGGGTGATCTTCACGCAATACTACAGTTTTGACTAGGTATATTTATATATATATATTCTTGTATATTACAAAATGTGGTGTACTCATCTCTACAGTAACCAGTATATATCGCAGGATTTCTTTAGATACCCGCTTCCGGAAAAGCTCAACTTCTCTCTAGGGTGCGTTTGCTCATCGAAGCACCGTGATGCGCGGTAAGTATCACCAAGCTGGTGAATAGGGACGTCCTGGCCACTCCAAAAGCCTCAATTGGTGGTGTATCTCATTTCGTAGACCTTCTCAACCCCCAAATCCTTTCAACATCAACGACTTTACACTGAGAACAAATAACGCCTGGAATCGTGGAACCTGTCTGCACCCGAACGGAACCAACGGAACCAACGTCCATGCGACTCGACTCCACAGCGAGCGGTCGACGACCGCTGAACGAACGCAACGTCCCCAGGCCAGGCCTAGAGGCACTTCCACGACCTTCTTGATGGCCACGCGATGTCTCAACGCAGGGGTCAGGTTTGGAAGAAATTTGCAAAGTCGGACCTGTTTTGGCTACAAGGCCATTCGGTGCGTTTGGCACCTGAATCAAGGATTGATGCAGGAGGCACAAAAATCATCAAAAATCCATCAATGCAGTGAAGTGCGAAAATTGGAGTCTTTTTTAAGTCAAGAAGAGGTTGCGGCGGCATTTGTAAGAAGTATGCCCACATGAACCCACATGAGTTGACCACCCGGCCATGCGAGACCAGTTGCCTTTACACCTATCTATATATACATATCTGCATACATCTGCAGCATCTGCATACTAAAGAATGGACTCCTGTGATTGGATCCTGCACGTGACGGACAAATAGATCGCAGCACTCAGCAGCACTTGCCTGCAAAACTCCAAATGCTCCATGCTGTCCGAGATGACGCAAACCCAGCCTCACGAGCAGCCCTGCCCCAGTGGATGTAGTGGTATAGTAACGAACCAGCGGATCCAAATACTGAACTCTCAGGGTGGGAACCAGCAGTTCTTTGTAACTGGTACTAGGTACAGATAATACATGTGCACAGTGTGTATCTGAACAATCTGGGTGTATTTTGTCCATCGCCTGCTCAAAAGGTCAGTTTTCGTTTCAATCAGTCCTCATCCATCTACCCAGGTTGTCCTCTAAGTCGATCAAGTCGGGGAACCAACTCAAGCTGGCAATGACCCCAGAATGCTTATAAATCTGCAAACTCACACATCCCAATTACCAATTTCAGGATGGAGGTTGGCACTAATGATGTCACACTCATGTCCAACCCTCATGCAGTAGCGCTGCTAGTGACCCCATGCGCCACCCCTGGATCACACAAATCCGCGGATGTCAAAGGTGCGGTGATGAACGGCTGGGAGCTGATCCAAAGAGCCCTCTGCAGCTGTGGCATCGGGCCGTCGCATCTCGCAAAGCGCGATGGCCTCAACGTCCTGACGTGGGTCCCATCCATGGACGCCCGATGATTGTTGTCTTTGAAGCCCAGTCTTCAGCGAAACGGAGTGGAAGTCGCTACTTGCCATTCCAAACTTCATAGCTGTATAGAGCTGCCAAATATGCACCCCCTTCAAGATGACACTAAGTGACAGCACAAGCACGAAGTGACAGCACAAGCACCCGAATCCAAAAATCCACATAAGATTGACACCAAACGAATTATCATGGGTGTTTCACGGTGCGGTGTGTCTATTCCAACTCCAGGTTGTTGCACAAACAAAGAAACCCGAGTTCTATCCCCGGTCAGCACTCACAAATCCCGAAATTCAACCTTGCTATGCCCAACTCCAAACATCAGGGTTCCACCCCAAACATAAACCAAACCAGTCTTTAGTCTTCACCATCACTTCCTCGGTCCAAGCATCGGCATCAATCAGCTCACGGAGGAAGTCCTGCCAGCTGACCCTGCTCAGTTTGTGGTCTTCGAATGGTCTTCGTTTCGGGTGAAACAAGGCTTTTCAGCTTGGAACGGTTGAGTGGAGGTGAACCGAATTCCCACTGTTCTAACCAGGCCAGTCCTTCTGTGCAATGCAGAATGTTATATGAGGAACCAATCTCATAATCGATGCCATTCATGAAAGTGCACACGTTCCATTCATGGTGAATCTCATGTGGTTTATATATACATATAAAGAGAGAGAGAGAGAGAGAGAACTGGATCCAGGGCCTCTAGAGGCAACTCCATGACGCACAAACAGCCTGGAAATGCATGCTAGCCTCCTCAGGATTAAGGATCACAGGAAATAACGAAAAGCATCCTCAGCTGCCGTGTTTTGCAGTTGGTGGAAATGACAACAGCCCCGGGGGTTGGAACCAGCATCACCAAGGAAGGCAGTAGGGGCCTCGAACCGAATATGTGGTATCCAATGGTCTTGTCAATGATCAGCCAAAGGCTATGGGTGGTCTGAAGAGTCAAAGCAGTATATTTTGGCAATGGCACTTAAGGCTGATAAGGCACCCTAAACCCTAAACCCATTGCCCAAACATGGAGAATGGACGAGAACCAAAGCCGCACCAACCCCCACGCTCCAGCCGATCCCACCTGAAGTTTGCCCTGGACACAAGGCACACGCAAAACGTGCCCCATAGAGACCTGGGTAATGCCAACGGTTCCATACGGTTCCTACGGCCCCTGCGGCCCTTGGCCTTTACTTCAAACCACCTAGTCATAAGATTGGTAAGCACACAGGTACACAGCTTGTGAGGATGAACCATGTTCAATGATGCTTGGAGAACTGCTAGCTACGCAGTTCTGGGGCCCACTAGAGGTCTGTGTTAATGCTCAAGAAAAGAGAACAAAGTCAGGACCGTCTCCCGGCAATCGTTTACACTGAGCTCCACACACGAGCTGAGCGGCGGTGAAAGGGGTCCGCACACGTGGAATCCAAAAGCACCAAGTCAACCTCAGCCGCGTCGACCGGTCGACCCCGAAACGTCGATCGGTCGACCCCAAAACCGGTCGATCGCCCATGGGACTGCATCCAGCCGATTGCTCATATGTGTATATTCTACTGCAGTATGTCATAGAACACTACTCAAGGAGGTAAAAGGCCAGGTTTGACTGGGTCTTTTTGGACTTGCCGGGATTGCATGTGTAAAATGCATGATATATGTATATAATTATATACACACATACACAATAAATGTTCCTCTCGAATTCTTGCATCTCTGGGACGCCAAAGGCCGCGGCAACTCCTCAGCGAATACATGGGGCCGATTGCTGTGGGAATGAAAGGCGGCAACGAAACATCCTGGATTCCAATCCCGAGCAACTGTTGAACAAATGTGAACAGGAACTTTCTCATCTGTAAACTCATAGGTTCCGTTCTGTTTGACACCAGCTAATACTATGTCAGACACGGTGTGTATACGCTGTCTATAGATATATACTATATATATATAGTTACAAGTACTGTACATTGGGTCTTCATATGAATTGTTGAGGCTGACTGCCCCTGCTTCACCAAGGGGCGGAAAAGAGCTCCCACCGATTCCTCAGCTCAGGGGGTTCAACAGCTCTACAGTGCGGGTGATGCCACAAAGCTCCTCAAACTGAAGGGCCAACAGGATGCCAGGCTTCGACCCCAAGCCCCAAATGGGGCAGAAGAACACCTCACACGTTCCATGGGGCTCTGCGCCGTTTGGTGGTCCCAGGGCCTTTGTTCGGATCCACTCGTCTTGTCCTCGCCTCGTCCAAGCCGGCGAGCGCCAAGGCCCTCAAAGGTCCATCTGGAAGACATTCCTGGTAGTGCGGAGGTTTTGCGGTCCGGAGTGGGTGAAAACCCCCCAGCCCGTCCATCCACCCATGATGTGACATGAGCAAAAAAATGCATGTATATAACTTCCTGTTGGGACCACACACAAGCTTGGCTTGAAGCCTCACAAGTTTGTGATGAAACCAACCATCCAGGAATCTAGGAACTGCTGATGTTGTTCATCTATAATTGCAACTACTACAGCCCAGTGGTAGCTGGATATCAGAAAGAGCTTTACTGAGCGACACCTCTACAAATAACCCGGATCCAATCATACTAGCATGTGTAATAAAATAGTGAGACCTCCAAAGACCCCCGGAACCCCTTGGTTAGGAGCTTCCATGAGTTTCCCCATAAAATTCACACCCAATCACACCCACATATACTCACCATCTAACGGCAAATGCTCGCGGCCAAACCACTCTTGGATCCAATTTCCACAGAACCACAGCACCAGCCTTAGAAATCCCCAAGCACCACACCACCCAATCATGCAAAGTCTCATCCTGAAATTCCAAAGTCACCCCCCTATCCATCCCTAATTTACCCTGTCTACTGTTCGTTCCGCAAGGGACTTTTCATCTTCCACCACTTGCTTCGGCCACCCCGCCACCCA